AGGAAAAATATGTATTTTACTAATTATAATTAGTAAAAAATTTAAGCGTTGCATTATTTTTGATTGCCACTGTATATTATAATTATAAAATTAGAGAATTTTTATTTTTAAATCAAAATAAAATTCATAAATTATAATTTAACATATATTTTTTTAGATTTTTTCTGAAAGAATTATAAAGTTATTACAAAATTAAAAATAAAATTTATTAGAAAAAATTTTTCAATAACTTTGCAATAAGAATAATTCTTTCAGAAAAATCTAAAAATCTGAAAAAAATATATATTACTTATAAATTTTATTTTAATAAAAATAAAAATTATTTCTTAATAAAATTATATACTTTAATATAAAGAAAATTTCTAAATTTTATTATATTTTATTAATAAAATTGATTTCCTGATTTCATAATTATATTAGTCATTATAATTACTTGATTATTTGAATATTGATTTTAACAAATAATTAATTTACTTACATAAATTCATTAATATGAATAATTAATTTACTTACATAAATTCGATTAAGCTTTAATTATTTGATTAATTACTGATTTAATACTTTAATCAATTTAGGAAATAATAATACAGCAAAAATAATGATTGATTTGATCTATAAGAATTTCATAATTATCAGGAAATCCTTATTTAAATTTAAGATTGCTTTTTTATTATAATATCAAACCAATCAAAAATTTGAACGTCATCATTGATAAATATAATCTAAAATTTAAAAATCATCTAATTCTGTTAATAATACATATTGCGAAGTTTTCGCTTCAAATAATTAAACAAGATTAATTATAGAATAAATAAATAAAATTTAATATACTTCGATTTTTTCTATTAAGCGACATTTTTCATTGCTGCTGCCGGAGCGCCTGGTTCTAGTTTAGCAACCTATATATATGTGTGTGTGTGTGTTTGTATGTTATATTATTATTGTTAATAACTATTTGATTCATTGACTAATAAAATGAATACTTCACCTCTCCTTCCAATTCCAGTAGCTCAGAATTAGGGATATCTGGAATTTGTGTTTCTTGTAAATATGAGGGTTCTTCCTCTTCTTCAAATAAAAGTTCATCTCCCAGAGCATCCAATTCTGGCATCAAAGAAAAAAAATTAATGTGTCATTGGACAATATGAACTAAAACAGTAGAAGAACTTTATCTATCAACGCATCCAATTCTGGAATCAAGAGAAAAATGCAGAGTTTATGCGCAATAAATGAACTAGCAGTAATAAAAGCTGTTTCTAACTCTAATAACAATCTTTAATAACTAACCAGCTTCCAATTCATCTTCGTCAATGTCCTCAGGCAGTCCGTATGTTCTTCCAAGTGTTTCTTGTATATCATTCGCTTGCTCCATTAAATCTTCCATATCATCTTGAATTTTCTATAAAACATCAAAACAATACGTAAAAATTGCCAATGAAAAAAACACACAAACAAAATTTATAGTTTTAAAACACAACCTCAATATGAGTAATATCAATCTTTTTATACTGTTTCTGCATCTCTTTATTCGCTGTCTGCATTGCGTCCACAGTCGAGACCACATTTCGAAGATTCTCTGTCGTGAAATTTGCTTGTTCCATATTAAATGATTGTTGTTGGAGTTGATCGCGTTGATTCTCATACCTTTTTAAAATAAGAGATAAATAAAAGACATTAAGGAAAAAGTTGGAATAATAGTTTTAACACTTACAATTTTCTTTGTTTAAGTACCCGGAGTGCTTTAGCTTTGATAGCGTTCTAAAATATAACATAAAGGTTAATGGAAAAAGCATTAGTTCCAAGCTCAAAATGTTAAACCAGATAAACTAACCTTGCCAGGTCCTTCCCTCATTTTCTTCATTTGATCTTTATATTTCGCCAGCTCAGCATCAAGCTTTTTTATCTTGACTTCAATAGCGTCCACTCGCGAATCCGTCTATTTTATGTTTGTAAATATGTTGCATTTCCAGAATACACAAATATCAAAGAACGTAAATTTAACAGCTCATGAAATTCATAGTTCGTGTAAATTCTTTTGAAGATATACTCACGGAAGCAATTGCGTCATTAAGTGTTGGTTTTGGTATCTTTTTAGAACTTCCGAATATACGATTCATGTTTTGTAAAGAATTTAATTGTGTGGTGATAATTTCAATTTCCTAATGATAAATTTTGCCGAATTCTCCAAGTTTATACAAAGGATAAAGCCAAGAAGCCAAGAGGCCAAGCAATAACGCGTGTATGTTGTGACACGAGTGTGAGAATGGGAAATTTTTTCTTCGATGACGTGGAAAATAATGGGATTTTTTGAAATTTTCTGTCTTGTTAGTGTCAAATCTATCATTCATACTTTTGCAAAAGATGTCGATAAAAAGAGGTGTGCATATTTCAATTTTGGCCTTTTTCTCTTTTATAGATCTAATTATTGAGTCTCTCCGCAATTTTAGAAGTACCACTTTCTATAATTCCCTTCCAAGCCCCACATCAACAAAATTTCTTTTGGGATCGTCAAATAGTACTTCCTGGTGGTTTTAACAAGAGGACCATGCCAAAAGTAGATTTTAACAAATGCTCGAAAGAACAATTACAAGATTTACTGGAAAGGAACTCGGCATTAATAAAAAACAGGTATTTGTCTTCTGTTTTATAGTGACCTTTAGCATAGTCAGTCAACGCTAGGATTGCTCGAGCAAATTACTCTAATTAATCCGATTAATTGACTTTTCTTCGCGTCATTAGTTATTAATTTACCAAGACATATGTTTTCCATTAAAATTTTTGAGTTTGCAATAAATCAAATTATTAAATTATTAATGAATATATATATATATTTTTTTTTGTTTAGCTCTCTTATGTCTAATCTTTCTGATAAAGGAGAAAAAATACACAAAGCTCGGGCAGAAATCCTTAAAGCCTTATCGAAATTCAATAATAATGACACGGAAATGGGCATCGTAAATAATAACAACATTAATGATAATTATAACACCAGGAATTCAGATAATTCAACAGAGTCAGGGGATAATTTGAATAATAATGATGTATCAAAAGAAGATAGATCTATTGGTGAGCTTCGAGTTCGTATGGATAGGTTGGCATTTGACGATAGTGTCCATATGGGAGTGTATAATGATAATTATGCGGACAGTGAATCTCCTCGCCAAGGTAAATATGTAAAACCGGTTCGACTCAAGATAATTCCAGTTGAGGAAGCTTCTGAACTTGAAGAAAAGCAAATCAGACTTCAAAAGGTATTTTTATTTATTTTTGATTTTTAATAATGAATTTCTGTTGTAAATTAATATTTATACCATCGTTATCGGTATTATACTTATTTTAAGGAATCAAATATTAGTGTGGCCAGAAAATCAAGACAGTACGTGGTTTTTGTTAATTTTTGTCTTATTATATTTGTTAATTCCGTATGTGTTGATTTATTCTTATTCAATGTATAGAAATGATTCGGATTTCCTTGAACCTTTTGAAGATGGCTCGGATGACGATTTTTGGGATGACGATGAATACGTATCTGATAATGGTGCCAGCGAAGTAGACTATAATAATGAAGTAATGGACACCTCTTATTGATTGGATTTTTCACCATTGGTCATCTTGCCTTGCCTAACGCTCCCCTTCCCTTCTCTCTCTCCCCTAATGATGGAGAAATGAGATGTTTGCCGAACATATGGTAACCAGAAGTAAGCATTTTTATTGAAAAATTATTGAGGGTGTTATTCTTGTGTCCTCCGTACATCTCATCTAAATAATAAATATTGATTTAAAACATTAAAATTTATCCAGTCATAATAAACACAAGCTGTTTTGGTATAATTAGTATGTGTATCAATAATTCAAATATTTCAATGATGATGAAAGAGGTAAGATTTGTGAAGGATGTATTATCACCATAATTATACTAGAAATTAATTGCAACTGGGGGTATTGTATAAAGAGAGCTTTTATACTTGTTTTATTGGGTTAAGGTGGAAAGAAGAATGGGCGAAGGAGATGAAATGAATCGAATGAAAAGTTAATTTTCTTATTGTGTGATTGTGTAAAATTTTTATCTTAATAGTAATAACATTTTATTTTCGATAATATTATAATGCTTTATATAATATCATTAGTAATATATTTAATAAATTACTTGATCAGAACAAATATAATTAAGATATTGATAAATTTTGATGTAATATAATTAAAGATTTAATAATAAGTATTAACTGAAATTATATAAGTTTAAAGATAAGTAATAGGTATTCTATCTTTAATAAAAATTTAATAAAAGATAATATGTATAGTGATAGCCAAAGATAATATCAAATTTATTAATAAAGTATAATAAAAATTGAAATTTTTTCTTTATATTAAATTTTATAATTTTATTTTTCAGATTTTTTAGATTTTTTCTGAAAGAATTATTCTAATTATAAAGTTAATATAAAAATTTTTATTAATTAAAAATAAAATTTAATTAATAAAAATTTTTGTTTTAACTTTATAATTAGAATAGTTCTTTTAGAAAAACTCTAAAAAATCTGAAAAAAATATATGTTAAATTATGGCTTATAAACTTTATTTAATATAAAAATAAAAATTATTTTTTAATAAAATTATAAAATTTAATATAGAGAGAAATTTTTAATTTTTATTATATTTTATTAATAAAATTAATTCTCTAATTTCATAATTATGAAAGCTATTATATATTTTTTTTCAGATTCTATAGATTTTTCTAAAAGAATTCTAATTAAAAATAAAATTTAATTAAAAAAAATTTATAATTAAAATAATTCTTTTAGAAAAATCTGAAAAAAATATATATTAAATTATAAATTATAAATTTTAATTTAATATAAAAATAAAATGATTTATTAATAAAATTATAAAGTTTAATATATAAAAAGAATTTTAATTTTTATTATATTTTATTTAATAAATTTAATTATTATTATTATAATAATAAAAGTAATAATTTATTAAAAATTATAACTTTATAAAATAATATTATATTTTATTATGAATATATACTTATTAAAATATCTTATAATTTTTTTATTAAAATATAACTTATATTTTTATGATATTTAAAATTTTTTATTAATTATAATTAGTAAAATAATTATATTAAAAGTTTTAATTTATTAATAAATATTTTTTTATTTTTAATTCAAAATAAAGATATTTCTTAAAATTTTTTTAAAAAAAATTTATTTTTAATTATATAAGTTAATTTTGATTATTATACAGATTAATAATGTATCAAGAGCTAAATTTATTAATAAAAATAATAAAAATCAAAATTTTCTTAATTTATAATTTTATTAAGAAATAATTTTTATTTTTATATTAAAATAAATTTTATTATTTATAGTTAAATATGTATTTTTTCAGATTTTTTAGATTTTTTCTAAAAGAGTTATTCTAACTATAAAGTTAATATAAAAATTTTTACTAATTAAAAATGAAATCTAATAAATAAAAATTTTTATACTAACTTTATAATTAGAATAACCCTTTCAGAAAAAATCTAAAAAATCTGAAAAAAATATATATTAAACTACAACTGATAAACTTTATTTTAATATAAAAATAAAAATTATTTCTTATTAAAATTATAAATTTTAATATAGAGAAAATTTTAATTTTCACTATGTTTTATTAGTAAATTTAGTTCCTGAGTCATTACTTTTGATTGTCACTATATTTAAAATATCTTTTTTTTTAAAAAAATAATTTTATTTTAGTTTTTTTAGTAAAGTAATGCTTTATTTATTATTAAATTAAAGTATAATAAAATAATTAAAAAGTTAATTTAGATCATTCTTTATTTAATATAAAAAAATTATAAAGATTAGTTAAAATTTAAATGATTTTTATTAAAAATAATTATTATATAATAATTAAAAATTTTAATAATTAAGAAATAAATAAAGTTTAAAAAATTAACTAATATTTCAAAATATTTTATTTTTACTTATTTTATAAAATATTATATAAGATATTAAAGAAATGTCGCAAGTGATATGCCTAAAAAATTCCTCGATCACATGATCGCAGATCATTCGTTTGCTAGAGGACACATGGAAACTTCGATGATTATGATGATGCAATACGAAGGATGATGTAATTCTATTATGTGTATGCACACGTACATTTAAATTTTTCTATTTAAGTCAGTAAAAATTTATTATTTTTTGTTTCGGTTTCGTATAATAATGACAACGTCATATAGTGTGAAGTTATATGTTTATGATTTATCGGGAGGTATGGCGAGTGCGTTGTCTCCTGGATTAATTGGTCGGCAAATAGGTAATTTTGTATATTAGTTTGATTTTTCATGACGGATATTATTTTTGATTCGTAATTTGATCTTTTTTGAATTAGAGGGCATATGGCATACATCTGTAGTTATTTATGGCATGGAATGGTATTACGGACAAGGTATATTATTTGATTTACCGGTAAGACTTCACTCGAATTCAATTAATTTTAGTAAAACGGATTTTAGAAATTTTAGAATAGGATAAATAAACTCACCATTTCACGCGAAAATAATATATTAATTAAAACAGGGAGAAACACCATACGGCTCACCAAAAAATATACTTGATATGGGTTACTCCGAGATCCCCCAAGAAATATTCACAGAATTTATCGACGAGTTACGTGAGAAGTACACTATGGACAAGTATCATTTATTGGATAACAACTGTAATAACTTCACTAATCAAGTGTGTCAGTTCTTGACTGGACAATCCATACCGGAGTATATTACAGGTGAGTTTTTAGGTTTGATAAAAGTTTGACATTATTAAAGTGAATATTTAAATTCATTATTTTTTTAAATAGATTTACCTGCAGATTTTTTGAACACTCCATTAGGACAACAACTTCGCCCAATAATAGAAAACATGTTTGGACAAAATAGACAACCATAATAAATAACTATGATTCATCTTTTACCTTGCTCATTTACTTAATTTATGTTTAGATTATTTTCGAGATAGAATAATTTATTTTCGTGATATATTTATTTTTCAGACATCTAAAACATTTTCAATTTAATTTTTTTCGTAGTTCCGGTCAAACTTGAATGAAAATTTTTTGTTATATAAATTATATAACATTAATTAAATAAAACATGCTAATTTCACCTGATTTGCCACGATTTTCTTCTCTCCTATTGCATTTGTGACCATCCAAATTATCAATAAAGCACACATCACAATAATCTTTAATCACCACTCAATAAATCCATTTCTTTATATCAATACTCGGTGTATCCTCATCTTTGCCCGGATGATCTTTTTTGGACTGTTCATTTAGTAAAAGAATAGCAGGAACAGCTTGAGTGGCATTCAACAAATCACGACAAATGTCTGAACTCTGACGTTGACAGTCGATAGCTAACGTTTCTTCTGGGTCATCTAATTAAGTATGATAGTGAGTGAGTGAATTTACAAAAAGATCAAGAAAAATACACTTGATCAACAAATACCAAGCTCAACGATTAGTGATTGCGTGATTCCCTTCTCTTTACTTATTTCCACCTCAATGGGGATGGTGGGATTATTATACGCGATTCTGGGTAGATTCTCACGCAAGAAATATCTTTTGATTGATAAAGAAATCAGCAAATTTATGTGAAATACGTGATTTTTTTCTTGATTATATACCTACCTAGCCCCAGCATTAAATTCCTTCCTCGAGAATGACAATGAGATTTTTCGCACTCTGGGGCCCAACTTTGCAGCCCCTAAACCTGTTCGCAAGTCTAGCAGTATTCGAGCTGTTCTCGTTAATGTACCTATTCGTTTTGTCGGCATAACTAGAATTTTTTTAACGAATATTCATCGATAAATAGATGATCAGAAATTCACGTGACACCTGAAATTTACTACTCCAGCTTATATATTTTGCTCTATTTAAATGCACACCTTCTCTAAATGCATATTTTGCGTTTTTTTTAATATGGTCCCAAGAAGAGTGCACTTAGGGGGGACTGCGACTGTATTTCTATTTTTCACCTTTTAATATTCTTTGAGAAAGAATGCAACATTATTTATTCTAGCAATCATTCGAGAAATTAATTTTTGTGAAATTTAAACGAAGTAACAAAGAAAATGACAAAATCTTCAAATGAGACAACTTTAACTGCAATCAGAATAGAAACTACAACGATGGCCCACTAAATGGAAATTGTCGACTTGATAACGGAGGAGATAGTAATAAAAATCAAGTTTCACATCGGCATTTTGAACTTATTCATTCTTTGTTAATTTTCAGATTTTCGAATTTAGTGCAAGACATGCAGAAAAGAATCACAGTATCAGAGATTTAAAGTTTTTGACGGTGGCCTGGACAATTATTGATATCTACGTTAACAAACCTTCGAGATCATTTCGTCATAAATGATGTTTCTAATCAATGAAGCTGTTCTTATGGATGGCATGATAGATTCAGATATAAAATTATCCACAAATTGCTATTTTTTTCTTTATTCCAACTTTATAGGTCTTCCATTCATTGAAACAATAAACGTATTTTTTCGTGATGTGCACAAATTCAAAAATCAATTTGTCTTTTTTTTTTACTAAGTATGCTATTCCAATTACATCAGTATCATAAATTTCCCTCGCGTAAATTTAGTAGCTATTGTTTTCATCGGATCTATCATATTCGCACCTTCTACACAAAAGCGCCAGTGTCTAAAAGATACAGTTCTGTGATGAAAATCCTGGTTGCTGCAGTTTTTTTGACTATATCAATCTAAAATTGCGGATTTGAATAAGTATAATTGAGTGACAGCTCTGTATTTGGAAATGATCGTGGGAAAATTTATATTGATACATTGTTTCCGAATTTGGACTAATCCGAAACTGGACTAATTTAGTTTATTGTAATTAACGTTTAAATGATGTTATTTTTTGTCGAGTCAACTTTTTCAAAAATGCAGTCATATCTTTGTCTTCGCCACCTTAGGGATATACCTCTACGATCGCCGCATCCATCGTTATCGTACTTTTCAACAAATTTTTCAGTGAGATGTTATTCAGGATATGCTACCAATACCGTTACCTCCGCTTCATATAACCACCAAAGATTTTACAGCGACAAAAATATTCGAGTAAGCGATTTTAGAAGTGATACTGGTAAGAAAGGATTCTCGAAATTATGAACTTTTTATGCAGGGTATATGTACTTAATAGTCATCAACATGTAAATAGTAACGTATCCGACTGATGAAATGATTGATGCTATGCGTATGGCATCAAGAGGTGATGATCTATATAACGTATGTATCTCAACTATTTAATACCACGTAAGATGTCTAATGCAATATTTGATAGATGATGTTTTGTGATATTCGGATATATATGTTACAGGAGGATAAGACGACTAAAGAACTTGAAGCATATGTTGCCGAATTAACAGGCCACGAAGCTGGGTTATTTGCTGTATCAGCCACTATGGTTTTTCCATCAAGATATTATCGATCTCTTGTTTAACCCATATGATCAAATTAATTAACTCGCCAATTTTAAAAGGCAAATCAACTCGCCATTCGAACGCATCTTACGCGACCACCACATTCCGTTCTGCTAGACTTCCATTCGCACATCTACAAATACGAAGCAGGTGGATTAGCATCCCATTCTCAAGCACTAGCAATCCCCATCAATCCCCTGAACAAAAGTCACTTAACCGCCCAAGAGATAAAATCAAACTTGATTTCGAGTGACGACATTCATCATGCTCCGACGCATTTGGTTTGCCTAGAGAATACACTCGACGGGGTTATTTTTCCTTTTTCGGAGATTGTGCAAATCTCGAGAATTGCACGTGAACGAGGGGTCAAATTGCACTTGGATGGGGCACGGTTATGGAATGCGTCAGCGGAAAAGGAAATTTCGTTGAAGCAATATGGTCAATATTTTGATTCGATAACGTTGTGCTTGTCGAAAAGTATTGGCGCGCCGATTGGCTCGATATTGGTTGGGGATCAAAAGTTTATCGATAAAGCGCGTCATTTTCGGAAGCAGTTTGGTGGCGGGTAAGTTGTTAATTATCTCCCTTTTTTTTTTACTGACGATACTCACCATATAATAAATATAACAGTTGGCGTCAATCAGGGTTACTAGCTGCTGCCGCAAATTTTGCGATCCGAAAAAGTTATCCTGATCTAATAAAAGAGACACACACACTGGCACGTCATCTCGCCAATGGACTTCAAAGTCACGGTATCCTTATACTGAAACCAGTCGATACAAACATGGTTTTTATCGACGTTAAGCCTATCAATTTATCAATTACACGATTGATGACAAAACTAATGGAACACGACATTTTGATTGAAAATAGCCCGGGAACCATCACAAGATTAGTGTTGCATTATCAAATTACACGAGAAGCTATCGATAAATTTCTCTGGATTGTTGGTGAATTGATAACTGAATAAATTAATTACTGACAACAACAAGAACATTTTACATTTAAATTGATAGTAAATAACCTTATATGTATTTATACGTTATTCGTGTTATTTTTGCCACGACTGGCAAATTTATAGTATAACAAAGATCGAAATATCAACTTAGCTTTAACAACTTTTCTGATTATCGTGTTGTGCAAGTAATCGATGATTGCTATTTTAAATTAACCTTTTAATTAAATAAATAAAAAAGGTTACTCTATTTTTTTTCGTTTGCCACGTTGCTGTTGTTTTTCTGCCGCCAACAGATTTTTCCGCTTTACCTAATGTAAACAATAATCCCAAAATTAGATATACAAATAGAATTAAATAAGAGTGCTAAAGTTGATGCTCACCGATTTAACTAATAATGATAAACTTGGATCTCGTGATGCAATACTTTTATCGTTATTCTGCAAAAATATCATTATTAAAATAGAGATAATTGTGATGCAAATAGCAGCTGATAAAGTAAAAATGGAATTCTTCATACTTGAGTATGTGAAAAAGCAGCAGCAGCGCCTTTACTTTCTCCTTCCTGCGACAAAAGTAACTGACGACGCTGTCGTTCTTGCAATAACTTTTCCATTGCTTTAGTTCTCTTGAATCTATTTTATATATCGATAAATTTCCGAGTTAAAAAAACCATATTTTTAGCACAGTACCAAGGATCCACCAAAGAATTTTAATCTTACTGAGGACTACTGGGATCAATGGCAAAATGATGAGACTCATGAAGCGCTGCAAATCGAGGATCTTGCACATTAATCTCAAAATTATCTTCCTCGCCCTCTTCACTCTTCTTCGACCTTTTCTTCTTTTTTCTTTTTTCGTTCTTAATTATTTCTTTCATGTTAAAATGTTTTTGTGCATCATTATCATCGTCATCCATAATTAAAAGTTCTAATTCAGCTCGTTGTTTGTCTTCTTTGGAACGTTCAATTTTACTGTTTTTCGTTTTTTGAATCTTTTTTATCTCATCATAATCGTTCGAATCGTCGTTATCATTATCTAATGATAAAATCATAAAAATTACTTTCTCTATAAAAATAAATGAAATTCTTGAATATGAGAAATAAACAAACCTTGATCAAACGAAAACTTGTTAATTTTTTCTTGTCGAAGCTTTTTCTTTGCTTTCTTTTTTTCGCGTTGTTTTCGTAGATACGCTTCTAATGTTGTTTCATTCTCCAAAGACTAACAAATCCAAAAGTTAATTAATATAGTGAGCCTAATAATATTAATAATATTAAATAAATAAATACCTCTTTTTCCTTTTTCTTTTCCAACAAAGAAGCAGCAACTTCGCTTATTCCAGGTGTAAAAGTAACCTCCATTTCCTGATCATCATGATGCTCATCGTCAGAGCCATACAGCAACTCTCGACTATTATCATCAGCATTGTTATTAGCCAATGATAACAAACTTTTATATTTTTTCGCGATATCTTCGTCTTCCTCCTCGTCCTCATCCGATGAAGCAAGGTACGCTTTGAAATCCATGTTATCTAAATCTTCTTGTGTAAATGATTTTCGCATTAGTCGAACACGATCGGGGTCGTCATTGTCCCATGTTAGCTTTACGTTTGAGTGTTGAAGTGCCTGTTGTTTTTTCAGGTAAAAAATTTATTGAAGTGTGTATAAAACACAATAGTTTTTTGGGGGGGGGGAGGAATCATGGTTTTACCTCTGTGACAAAATCAACTGGTTTATATTCAGCCGGTGCCTCATAACATTCATCTCTAAAAAATTGGTTACTTAGTGAGTAAAAGGAATCGAGACATTGTTTGAATAATAGCAGGCAGAAATTCAAAACTATATTGGTTATATTATACACGTACACTGGATCATCATCAAAATTCATATCATTCGGAATAAATCGTAAATCAAAAAAATTGGCCGTACTTTCGAATTCCGCACCATCACATTGCTGGTAAACATGTCGTGCTGTTTCAACACTATCACATTCAACTACGGCATAAAAATACCTATGATTATTATAATTATAATTATAATTATCATTATAATAATAATAATAATAATAAAATAATGTGTATGATGAATATTTTACTTTAATAATAAATAAAAAGTGGATAAATCAATTAATAATACACCAAAAAGATATCACACACTTCAGTCGCTCAAGTTGATATTTTCGTAACGCTGCTTCTTCAAATTCATTAGAAGATGCATCATTCATTTCACCGTTGATATCGTTGCTGCTTTCATCACTGCTATCTTCGTCTTCTCGGTCCTTTGTTGATGATTTAAATATTTCTTTTGGTGGTCCTTCACGTGATTCCTTATATAGTAATAATAAAAATGTTTGAAAATTACGTGCACGAATTTCCACATAACAATTTAATTTATATAAATAAGCACCAATTCTATTCGCTTTTTTCCAAACTCTGAAGGATATATTTTGACAGACTTAATTATAGATGTACCCGAAGTACAAAACCCAGAAAAAACTTTCATCAGGTCTGTTGCTTTTACATTATCCCAGTCAAGATTAATTGCGGCAAATCTGCGAGTCTCATCACCAAGTGGGATTGGCTCCTCTTGTTCAGTGTCTTCTTGATCTTCCAAGGACTCATTTAAAGATGTTGAAGAAGATGATAATGATGCGTTATCGTCATCTTCAGATTCTTCATCCTCGGATGAAGAACTAGAAATATCTAATCTTCCACGTGAAAAATCATATAGATCCTTTTGTGAAGAGATGATGTCATCTTTATTTTTTAGACGACTACGGCGATTATTAGATTCGTCATCATCATCATTGTCTAAAACATAGAATCTTTTTAATTCTTTTTTCGAGTGATCCGAAGAAAGTGGACGTCCGTATTTGTCAATCTTAGCTACCACAAAAATTTATAAGGTTATTTAGAATAATTTTTTGAATTTACATGTATTTTTAAGGATGAAATTGGTTTTTTAAACTCACGAGCATCGCTAAATTCTTTGTTCTTTAGCATATGAGCAAATCGTTTATCCAAAGTAACTTTAATGTCTTTTTTCTTCGGTCGAATAAAACGCGGGTCTTGATGCACATGCACGAAACGCGGGTCGCTCGTGATTTTCTGACCGCGAGCATCTTCTTTAGCGGAAGATGCAAACGAGCTGCTGGTTATTGACTTTTTCTGTTTGTTTGATTGACTTGACATTTTTTAAAAATTTTTAAACTTCTAATTGTCGCGAACTAGATATTGTATCATCAGCTGATCACAATCTCGAGTAGTACAAGACAGATCGCGAAAAAATACAATGTCACGTCTTTGCTATCGAGATATTCCTTTGAATTCTACAAATTTTTAGAAAATATTAAAAATGTCAAACGAAAATTCGGAATCTGGTATTTTTTTTTCTGTAAAAAGTTTATTAATACTGCACATGTTATCACTTCTTAGAAAAAAAGTTTTATTCATGACAAAATTTGTTTTTTATAGTTTCCCCAATGGAAATTGACGGCGAAACGCAACAGCAGTCTGCCAAGTAAAACACGTGTCTTTATTACATCAAGCCTACGGATATTTCTATCATTATTAATATCAATACTTATAATAAAAACAGTGACGAGAACATCAATAGTGTAATAATTGATCTCAGTGACAACATTAAACGATTCGACGATGAACTTACAATGAACGAGAAAATGCGAATCTTTTATCAACGTTTTTTCCCGTATAAACCATATTATCATTGGTTAAATTATGAGACGAGTAAGTGTGTAATTTGCAAAAAAAATATTACACATCACCTTTTCTTTTATCAAATAATTTAATTTGTTTCTTAGGTCCAACCAAAGCTTTCCTTAATCGCGAATTTAGTTTCACCCTCGATGACATGTATGTGCGCTTTCAATCTTTCAAGGATGCTGAAGAGTTGAAAAATGAACTTTTGAGAAGTGTCCCATCTAAAATTGATATTGGGGCTGTGTACACTATGCGAGTATGATTAGTTTATGTTTCATTTGATCCATCTGATAAAATGTGAGATTTGACTTGAAAATGTTTGTATTAATCTATTTTATTGTATTTAATTCTAGCCAAAGGACAAAAAATTCGCGCCTCCAAATTCTTTTAAACCAATCATGAAAGAACTGGTCATTGATATTGATATTACTGACTATGATGATGTTCGTCAATGTTGCAGGTACGGATTATTTAAAGTTTACCTATTTCTGTTTCAAAACATATTATGTGCTCGTCTATAATATATTTTGCGAATAATTCATTAGTAAAGCAGATATCTGTCTAAAGTGCTGGCAGTTTATTACTGTTGCTATTAAAATCATTGATAAAGCTTTACGAGGTAAACTTTTTTTCTATACGAAATATATAAAACCAAATAAAATCAACTCTCACTAAATGCAACCTCCATAAATGCATGCACTATGTAAATTCTAGTCCCACGCTTATAAGACCCCTAATTATTATACCCTCTAAAAATGTTTAAATACATGTTCATACCTGGTTAGTCATATGGTCCTGACGACAAATTCGGCATTTAGAGAGAGTTGATTGTACATTATTAGTAATATAATCATGAAAATATTTTTTATTAGATGATTTCGGATTTAAACACTTGCTCTGGGTGTACTCTGGTAGACGAGGTGTTCACTGTTGGATCTGTGATAGCCGAGCTCGTAAACTAGATAATGATGGGCGAAAAGCGATTATATCATATCTTGCAATGATAAAAGTAAGTATTTCCTTTTAGCATATCTCATTTTAAATTATAATCTGATACATATGATTTTTTTAAACTAACAGGGAGGCGCTCAAAAAGAGAAAAAAGTATTCTTACCCAGATCATTACATCCGTCATTAGAGTGAGTTATCATCATTTCCGCCACCACAATCTGCATGTTCTCTAGAATAACGCATATCTTACATAAAAAAAAAATAGACGAGCATATAAAATAGTGGACCATTATTTCACAGTATTGGCATTAGAATATCAAGATATAATGGATACGCCAGAACGATGGACTAAGGTTTTAAAGTGCATTCCCGAAGAAGGTTATTAACAAGATCATCCTACAATATGCCTTTTCTATTTGTCCAATTTCTTTTTTTACTGAATTATCTTTTGATTATTTTAAAAAAGATATTAGAAAAGCATTAAATGAAGAATGGAAAAAAACACCATCACGATCTTCTACGTTAAAATGGGATGATCTACTTCAAGCGTTACAGAATGTTGTGGATAAAAATACTAAGGTAAAAGATACATATCGGTCGCACTCCTCTAAGTGCATACCCTTAAAAATGCATAATCTCTCTTAATTTTTTATATGGCTTATTGCATATTTCCTCTGCATATTTTAAAATATTATACTATGGTCCCGGCGGCTATGCATCTAGAGGAATATGATTGTATAATTGATATAGAGGCGCTTTATCGATTTGTATTTACAATTCATGACTAATAAATATTATACCGTCGGATTAGGAGGTTGTTGCCAAGAAACGAGCTGATGCATTAGAAACCATCAAACGAGAGATTCAGTTCCAATACATTTATCCGCGGCTCGATGAAAATGTCTCTGCACACATAAATCATTTGCTAAAGAGTCCGTTTTGTATTCATCCGTTAACCGGTTAGTCTCCCTTCTTTACATAACGATAAAAATCTCATTTCCCTCGACTAGGTAAACTAAACTTATTAATTACTAATTACTATTATTATTAATCTAGGCAAAGTATGCGTCCCTATTTCCCCTGATAATTTTGAAAATTTTGATCCAACTAAAGTTCCCACAGTCTCCTCGATTATTTGTGAAATGTCTCAATGGAATCAAAAGCATCCTAATGCGTCTGTACAGCCGGGCGAACGAAAGATGAATGGTCTGTTTTTTTATTCATGTTCTTTTCTTATTGGATGATACACAAGCTTAAGATACGTTACTTTTTACAGATTATGAAAAGACTTCGTTAAAGCCGTACGTCAAATATTTTGAGGATTTTGTTCAAGAAATTTTAAAAGATGTATGGATCAGAAAACGAGGTACGCACGAGAATCTTTATATTATGTTTGACTTTAGAGATGATTAAGTGACTTATTATTATTTGTTTATTATAATAATAAAGCTGCTCAACAACGAACTATGGAATTTTGAAAGTATACAAAATTACTATTAAAGAAGTGTGTTATAGAACAATTATAGATTATTTCTAAGCAAAATATTGTGTTAGGGTGGATTATTATTAAAATCTATTATTATAAATTTTATTTTCCTTGTCTATAACGTAATTGTTACAGTAATTCGATTAAGTAAAAAACATAATTCCATTGAATATTTTAAGTCTATAGTTGCTATTATATTATTCTACTTTTTTGATTTCTTTTCTTCTGTCAGTTCCAGATTACCTTCTGGGACCTAAGTGTCGAGAAAAAACAAATAAGGAGAACGGATTATTAATAATTAAACAGTTTGTGGGATATTTGAATGATAAATAATAATGAACTACTTACAACTGGCCACGTCTCCAGTATAAAATCTACCAGCTCATCTGATACGTCGCCTTGCACCACAATTTCATCATTCCCTAGATTATTTTTCACTACTGATGATCCGCAGGCGAATTTTGACGCGAATGATTTCGCGGCTTTTTTTAGATCAATGTCTGTAATTTATTTATTTAGCATATTATAGATATACTATTAATATGATTAGAATTGAACATCAATTACCAAAATTTTCTAATCCATTTACACTTGTCACACATTTCCGTTTATTTCGGGCGATTCGCGTGATTATTATTTTCGAAGCCTAATTATTTTGATTCATTGATTCATCTTTTTAAAAAATAAATAACAAGAAAATTAAAAAAAATAGATACTCTTTTTTTCTTTAATTCCCTCTCTATTTTAGCGGCTTCTATAATTGACAAAGAATAATAAATTTTAACCTATATACCATCAAATATTTATTATTCATACAAAAAAACACATAAGAAGCCAAACCTTTAGCCTTTTTCTTCTCTTCGCTATCATTACTCTGCTTATTTGTCTCACTTAATGATGTTCCTGCTAGTTGTTCTTCAACGGCCGCTAATATTGATTGTCGTTAAAGATCGGATAAGTACAAATGAATCAATTGAATAAATATCCATTCGTTACAAGCAGCGACTTACAAATAGGATGTAGTCTCTCGTATAATTCTGGATGCTTTTCTTGCAACCATTTTTTACATTTATCTAGCGTTGGTCCGAATTCGCAGTACTGTAATTTGAGTTGAATGGTGTTAGTTCTGATGGAAATAAGAAGAAGCAAACTTTTTTAGTTACCTCTGGTGGCAATGTGCATACTACTCGACGTATTAAAAAGTAAAATAGATGAATGGTAGATAGGCTTTTTATGATTGAAATTCGATTAGAAATTAGCATGACCTAAAAAAATAGTCTCTACTACCTCCACAATAGATAACTTGTTTTGCTGTTGATACTGGTGGTGTTGCTGCTGTTGCAGACGTTACCACTGGTGTCGCTACTTCTCCTACTTCTGTTGCTTCTGACGTTGCTTCTGGCGTTGACATTAGATATATTTTATCTATCAAAGCAAATATTTTGTATTATCTAAAATTGTATGGAATTTATGATCTAATCCTCTACCTAAAGTTTGGACCACGTGATGCAAATTCGAAAAGTTATTTAATTTTAAATATTTTTTCCTAAATGAATCGTCGTATTTTAATCAGAAATTTCAAAATGGCAAATTTTAAAAATTACTTATATACCTCTACAAAAGAACCCAATCAGGACATGTTCTTATATAAAGAGAAGATATACAAGTGGGTTGTCAAAAATTATTTTTTTAAAATATTCTCATTAGTAAATTCGGTTTAACGGGGTAGATTTACTATAACTGATCCTTCGGTTATAATTAGTGCTTCGGTTAAACGGGGTTCGTTATAACGGGGTTGCCTTTGTAACTCTAATCCCAATCCTCCTAATTCTAAATATTCAAGATCTGCGATCATATGATCGAGGAATTTTTTCTAGTTATATAATTATACGTATAATGATAACGATAATCACCACAATTACACAATTACGAATAACGATATGAATAAATGTCAAAAAAAAGCATCAAGTTATGCCTTTTATTCTTATGACCCTATTAATGAAAAATTTCAGACCAATTTTTTATATAAAGAACCAACCATGTCAATTACACAAATTGTACATAATGATAATGATAACCAAACCATCACAAACCAAAATGAAACTATCACCATAATCGAAATGCTATGAATTACTACAAAATGAAATATTACTAATCAAAATGAAATCATCACAAACCAAAATGCTATTAACACTAATGTTATAGATCAAAATACCATAAACCAAATGCTGTTTTCTCTTCCTTCCTCGTTTGATCCCACACTTAATAATCAATAACTTCAAATCTGTGAGTCAACAATAATAAACTTTAATGATTTTGAAGACAAAAGTAATACTGATACTGAAGATAAATCTATATCATCAGTTATTTTAACAATTGCTTCTCATTCCTCACAAATATCTGCATCAACAATTACTACCTATTCTTATGAAACCGTAGACTCTTCTTTAATGCTCTGCATAACTCTTTGATGTTTCATTATTTTCTTATTTCATTAAAGCAAAACATTAAGTTATTCAAAGCTAAAGTAAGAAAAGAAAGAAAATTAATAATAATTAATTAGGAAATTATTAATTTAATAAAATTATAAATTAGGTGTGACACATATGATTAAATTAATAAAAGAATAAGACTAAATATAGGTAATAATATAAACTAAAAATAGAATTAATTATAAATAAGATTAATTAATATAAATTACTTATTTATCCAATTTAGTAGTGATTGATAATTACTATATTATGTGCTGTGACTGTGCATTATACAAATAGATAATTGATTACAGTATAATAATTCTTCTTAGTATTATTTATTCTTTTACTAGTATAAGTAATTATATATTCTATATTTTTATCATTTTTTTATATCAAAACTACTCATAATTTAAAGCTAGAAGTATCAATATATAGGATAAAAGATTTTTCAAAATCTAAATAAATTAATATAGATATAGTAAATCAATCTATTTTTTAATTCTTCAAATACTTCTTAATATTCAATAGATCATTTAAAAGATTAATTTTTTTTTATTAATTAATTTAAAAATATAGTTATCTTTACAAAATTTCTTATAAAGTATCTATAATATAAAATTAAATCAAGAAATCCTCTCAAGATAATTAAATTTGTTAATCTAGAAAATTATTCTATAATTAATATTTTGACTAGATCAGATTTTAAATTATCTTTACTGATAATATATTCTAAAAAAATAAGTATTATTTTATCAAATTAATATTTATTTGATTGAAGTTTCAGATCATTTTCTTTAAGCTTGTTAAATATTATATAAGATATTTTTTAAAGATATTTGAGAAAATATTAATATTATAAAAATAGATAATTATAAACTTTTCAAGATAAAATTTAAATATTTTATTTATTAAGTATTGAAAAATAGCTGATATATTATTTAATCTAAAGAGTATCTTATTAAATTTATATAGATTATTAGTAATAATAAAAGCTATTTTCTTTTTATTTTTTAATTTTACTTCTACTTATCAATATTTAGAAGTTAAATTAAGTATTGAGAAGTATTTTACTTTGTCAAAGATATTAAGTAAGTCATCAATTTTAGATAAAGAAAATTAATCTTTTTTTATAACTTTATTTAATTAATAATAGTTTATATAAAATTTATATTTGCTATTCTTTTTGTTAATTACTATTACAAATATAAATTATAGATTATTTAATGATAAGATAATATTTTGTTAAAGTATCCTCTCAATTTCTTTTTATAAATTCTTTTTCAATAGATGAATATCTATAATATAATTTTAAAGCTATTAGTTCTTTAGTTTCTGTATTAATTTCATATTGAATAATTATAATTTTTCAGATTTTTCATCAAATAAATCTTGATATTTATCTAATAATTCTTTTAATTATTATTTTTATTCTGATATTAGATCTATTTTATTAAAACTTTCTTCTTTATTATTTTGATAAAATAGGTTTAATATTATTTTTATTTGTTTATAATATTAATTATTTTTATTATACTTATAATATTTAGTTAATAAGTAATTATTAGCATAAAAATATTTATCTAAACTAATAATTTTATTTTTCTTTAATTTTTTAAATATTAAATAAAAGAATTTTTCTTTACTAAATTAAGTATAATATTTTTTTATTTGTAAATCTAATATCATTATTTATTTATCAAAACTTTTTTAAATATTTAAAAGATTAATATTATTATCTTTTTTATATTTATCTTCACTTTTTTCTTTTATTAAAGACTTCTTTTTTTTGAATTTACTAGTTGAATTAAAATTTTGTTAATCTTTTTCTGAATTATTAAGTTCTTTATGAGTTGATATCAACTGAATTTTTATAATTTTTACTAGTGATAAAAATATTACTTGAGCTATTTTCTTATTAGGCTATATGATATATAGTTAATTAAAATTATTATAAATCAATATTTTAATATTTCCAGTATATTCAATATCTATAATATTAGCTTTTACTTTTATTTCTTTGTAAGTTAAGAAAGATCTAGAAATAAATTAACAAAATATTTCTTTTAATACTTCAATTACAATATAAGAATCTATTATCATAATTTCTTATAGTAAAATAATAAGATTTTCTAGTTTAAGATATCTCAGATTAAAATTAGTATCTATTTCATAAGCATATTCTGATATTTTTATTATTATTATTATTAAAGATTTTAAGTTTTATTTCTTCATCAATATTATATAAATTATTTTCTTCTTCAATTTTATGATACTTTTCTAAATAGGTGATAGATATTTTAATCTAATTCTTTTAATTTTTAAATTACAGTGCGGACCACTTAAAGACTGAAATTATGTGACTTGTTTCATTTTGAAATTTAGATTTTTGAATTTTTTAAATTAATTAAAAAGTTAAATTTTTATTATTTTAATATTTTATAAAAATCACGTGATATTTACATTATGTGCCTTATATCATATGCATATTGCATACTTAAAAATATAATACATCACATACTTAAAATATAATACATCAACAGTTTAAAGATTATTATTTTTATTTATTTCTTTCATAAATAAAGTCAGCTCACTATCTGGAATATACCTATATGACTTGAATTTTTTATATGCATACTCTACTAATTTCCCTATTAATCCCTCATGATACAAACTCATATATCTCCATGATTTTTATGCAAATTTTCTGATCATTATAATATCAATTGAATCAAGAGCTCGTAGAACTACTTCTTATAAGCCAGCTCATGTATAATCATAACAGTTTCTTATGTAGCATTTAGCTGCCTCTCAGTACATTTCAATAAAGTTAAGTTCATAATGGAACTTCAGATAAAAAATACATAAATGATCAGTACCCTCTATTAATTTCACAATTGCTGGTCTTTGAATGAGGAAATCTGGCTGAGAAGCCATAATTTTTCTTGCACAGTAGTTTATCCGTAAAGAATCTTTAGATAATTACTTATTATTACAAGCGTGATAACTTAAAGACAACCTCTCTCTTCAAAGTCCTCTTTCTTCCAATATTTTTCATATTTCTTTTGACTTTCCCTGCATAGCTAAATCAGGATAATCCTTCTCAAATACTATTTGTTAGATTTTTCTTTATCCATTAGAATTTACAAAAGTTATCAATCATATTATTAGTTATTTTTCTCTAGGTTCAAGATTCATTCTCATAGCAACAAGAGCATTTTTTGTATATGCTCCATGATTTGTACTATTGTCAAAAGCAAAGACAGTGGTCACATTGAAAAACTTTGTTTCAAAGATAGGAATCATCTTATTCTTGATTTGATCTAATAAGTAATCAAATATCTAATAATCTTCTTGGTTTTTGCCTGGCAAAAGATAGCAACATATCTCAGTAGGAACAGTTAGATGTACTTTGGACTCTTCTTCATTTAGTTTCAACTGATCATATACTTCTAAAAGAAATTTGCTCACCATGATTGATCTTCCATTTTCTTTCTTCTATAATAGCATCTCTTCATCTAGAATCCAAATCTATCTCTTTACATCATTTGAATAAAAAATATATTCATCATACATAACAAGAATTAGTTCTCATTCATCTATTCTAAGTGTTGGTGGAATTCTTTCCATTTCTTTTCTCTCATATTTTGCTATTCATTATTCTAAATCTTGAATTTCTTACAAAAATTCTTTTTGATAAGTGATAATATCCTCTCACTTATACCTATTAAAGTACTGTCCTTTTTGATATTCTTTAAAATGACATCCTAAACTATTCAGTCATCTCTTGGTAATTTATATGCTAATTATTTTTTTTGTTCTTCCTACATACTGAGGAAGTATAATATCATTGATGTACTGCTTGAATTAAGTTAAGAAAATACTATTTATTTCTGATTCTTGCTGTATCCATTATTAATATTGCAAAGCAATATCTTCA